TGTATGTATATAAATTAAAAACTAATGTTTTTTTACACATTTATATATATATGTAAAGAAATATTAGGTTTTAATCTATCTACTTTTTTTCGTATAAAATATTATCAAGCTATTCAATATTTTTGCAATATCTAAGATTAATGTAGCTAGAGTGTGTAAGTGTAAATGATATAATTGCTTTAAGAGTAAGAGTTTGTTGTTGGTTTGTCTTTTTCTTTTGTTTTAATTTTTTGAAACAATTTGTATAATGAAATAATTAACAGATTGCATAAAGAAAAAGATTTTATCTTTATAAAATTTGCTGCGGGCACTTAATAACTGCTTGCTTTAAGCTTTGTATGAACAAAACTGAAATTGCACGTATGTTATCGGCAAATTATACGATCTGCACAGCCTCGGCAGGAGATTGGCAAGAACGTGTTGCTGACCTGGAAAGTAAGGTTTCATCTCAGACAAAAGAAATACAGATGCATATCGATGCAATTGCCACCTTAGAAAATCAAAAGTTAGATCTAATGCAAGGTAATTTATAATATTAAATATAATCTATGATGTGGAATAAAATATACAATTTGTGTGGACAGATCAAATAATTTTTTAAATATTGAGTTGTATTACATTTTAATAGAACTATAGATTATAAACTATTCTGCTTTTTTTTTTTTTTTGATGGCATGTCAATTACTCTCTTTCTTTTTCTGTAACAGCGTTAATGATTGTACTTCTAAAATTCTATACATATAATAATATTATTTATTAAGTATTAAAAATTAGCATATTTATGCTCCAGCAAAAAATTACATATCTTTTTTCAGAACTTCACACGGTGAAGCAGGAAACTTCGGCGTTAGAAGCTGAGAATGCAGAGTCCGAGAATCTTAGAGTGACTGCAGAGATGAAAGTTGTTGAGCTAGAGGAACAATTGGAAGCTGTACACAAAGAACATAGCGAAAATAAATTCGAGTCTTTATCCGAGTCTGAATATCATGAGCTTTTGAAAAAGCTTGATGCTCTGATACAGGAAAATTCAGAATTATATAGTAAATTAAACAAAATGGAGGAAAAAGGCGCTTCGGATACCGGCTCGACAGAATCCTTTGAAGCCATTCAAGTAAACAATAAAAACGATCTTTTGAAGAAGATTGAAGATTTGGAACAGAAGAATAATGAGTTGACACTCAAGTTAACGAAGTTGGAGGAGAAAGATGGCTCGCATGCTGGCTCGACGGAGTCCTTCGAAACTATAAACGATACAGATCGCAGTGAACTGTTGAAGAAAATTGAACAGTTGATCCAGGAAAATAATGATTTAACTATGAAGTTGAGTAGAATTGAAGAGAAGGGATCGTCCGATACGGGTTCTACAGAATCTTTTGAGCGTATTCCAGAGCATAACGATAGCATGACAAAGATTGAATTACTTACTCAGGAGAATAATGAGCTCGTTATTAAACTTACGAAACTGGAAGAACAGTTAAGTCAAATAGAGTGTAGCGTTCAATTAAATGTCCCTAAGATTGATAATAGTTTAGAGACACTTAAAGATGATAGCAGCTTGAGATTGCAAATTGAGACGCTTACACAGGAACATGACAATTTAATGATAGAGATTGTTAAGCTCAAGACGCAAGTAGAAGATCTGACGGAAGAAAATAACAGATTGCAGGATCGTATAGAAACATTGACAGCGGAGAATACTGAATTAGTTATAAATCGCACAAAATTAGAGGAACATCTTGAAGCGCAACTGTCTTCTCAAATGTCAGTTCAGATAATAGAATATACTGATCAAATTAAAATTTTAATGGACAGACAACAGGTTCTTGAAAAGGAGCTGACACAATTGCGAGAAGCTTCGGTAGAGCAGTCAGTTAACATAACATCATGCGAGACTGATGACGCAAAGTCTAAAATTGTGACATTGGAGAAAGAAAATGCGCAGATGATAATGACCATTGCAAAGCTCGAAGAACATGTCAACAATCAGAAAGAAGAATTGAGCAAAATTACTAGAGAGAAAGAAGAGTTGAATCTAAAGCTGGAACATATGGCCTATGATGATTTCTCTAGAGAAAGATTGGAGCTCATTGATAAATTGGAGAAATTGAATCAGGAGAAGGAGAGTGTAGTTCATGAGAGACAGGAGCTGCATGAGCAAATTAATACTCTCTTACAGAAATCATCTAATGAAATGTCAGAGATGCGAAAGACAGAAGAAGCTGCTGGTCAGGAGTCTCAAACTGTGATTGTAGCATCTCTGGAGAAAGAACTTGAGAATAGTAAAGTATTAATTACGGAATATAAAAATCAGGTAGAAGAGATGAATATGAAACTGCAGAGCATGGAGGCAGAATTGCAGAAAAAAGTCAAACAATTACTAGAGTATGAGACATCGAATGAAAAAGTGGAGAGTTTGCAATGCGAATTGAAGGACATGTTTGTTACCGCAGAGGAATGGAAATTCAAATATGATGATATGCAAGTAAAGATGCAAGCCTTGGAGCAAGGGAAAATTTCCATAGAGGAAGCCTTTAAGACATTAGAAAATAATCACAAAGAATTGTTAGAAGTAATAAGGGAGAAAGATGCAGCAACTTCTACTCTACAAGAACAATTTCAAGGCACTATAAACTCGCTCGAAACAAGATTACAAGATGAAATAGCAAATGTAACTGCAAAAGAACATGAAATCACGGCCTTGAAAGCAGAAATTGAAAAGAAAGACCAAGAATTGCAAACCAAATATGCGCAGTTGCAAAATGGAATGATTACTATAGACAGTTTGCAAGAAGAGTTGTACAATTATTCGCTTAAGCTTAAGGAAAATGAGGCTACTCTATCATCATCATTAGGAGAGATTGCGAGACTCAATGATGTAATAAGGAAGAAAGAAGAGGATATTCATATCCTGAAAAACAATATTAGCAAAATTACTGAAGCATTAGAATTGTCTAAGTCTTCAGAAGAATTTAATGAAATATTAGAAAGTTTGCAAAATAAAGAAACAAGCTATATCGAATTACAAGATAAGCACAAAGAAGTCTTAAGAGAAAACAATGAGTTATTGCAAAAGATTGAAGATACATCAAAGGATTATGAGAATATTAAAAACGAATTAATTAAGAAGGAACAGGAAATCAACAGTTTGCTCGTGGATAAAAAGGAATTGGACGCACAAATCGAAGAAATCAAGAACAACAAGATTGAAACTGAAAAACGACTTTGGGAATTACAAAAGATTTTGGAGAATCAAACTACATATGCTGAAAATATGCAATCGGAGTTGACAAATGAATATAAGCAGATGGAACGGCTTAAAATCAATCATACGGAGGAAATGGCGATGCTAAGTACAAGATTAGAAAATGTTATTGAAGAACTAGTCGAGAAAATACAGGAAAATGATGCTATGAAAGCTAAGTTAGAAGAAAAGCAAGAGTTACTTGATAAAAGTGTCACGGAAGAAATGAAAACTGTCTTGGAGAACAAAGTCGCGGATTTGGAACAAAAGCTTTCAGAATCGGAGAATAAGCTTCAGATGCAATCTGAAAAAATGAAAAAGATTGTGGCGACTTTCAATAAAAAGAAAATAGCATGCCAAGAACTTGAAGCACGCGTTGCCGAATTGGAGGAGAAATGGACAACGGAAAAGGACGAGAAAGAGGTTAAAAACAAACAGATACAGGAGGTGGAGATTGCCATGCGGGAAAAGGATAACAAGATCGCCGACTTGGAAGACAAATTGCTGCAGATGAAGAGCGATACTGCGGAGGCTCTCGCAAATTCTGAAAAATTCGCAAAAGAATCGACCAGTTTGAAGGAAAAGATGGCAGTGTTGATGGAACACAACACGGAGATGGGCGAGGAGATTGAAAAGCAACGTACAGAGATAGAACACATCTCTCTTGAAATGGCGGCAGAGAAAACAGCGAGAGAGAATATTACTACAGAATATGAACTCTATAAACAAACTACGAGCAAGGAAGCTGAACAAAAACAGGCAATTCTGGATGAGATAAAAGAAGAAGCGCGAGAATTGAGCGTGCGTATGCAAGTGATGGAGACCGAATACGTGAATCAGCTTGCCACGATAAAGAACTTGCAGGCGGAGAACGGTCTCTTGTCATCCAAACAAACGCAGATCGTGTGCTGATCGAGCAGTTACAAAAAGAGATTGCGGCGATGACGGTAGCTGTGCAGGCTCCGGAACAAGATGTAAGAGAGGATGACGCAGAGAGGATCGCGCAACATTGCGACCATTCCGAGCAGTGTCAAAATTTGGTACAAGCGTTGGAGGCACGTTTACAGGAACGTCAAGCGGAGATTGAAAATCTAAATAACGAGTTAGCTAATTCATATGGCAATATCGTGTTACTCCATGATGAGTCTCAGAGGTATAACGATATGATGATGCAAACTGCTCAGGAGCGTTTTAATCAGTCACTTATGGACCAAACGAATATGTTACAACAAGAAATCGAATCCTTAAGAACGGAAAAATCCATGAGCGAACGGATAGTGTCGGAATTGGAATCTAAATTGGAAGAATATAAACGTAAGAACGAGAAATGCAAAATTGAAACTCTGGAAACAGCTGAGACTTCTGTCACCGAGAGCCAGCAACAACAGAAGCATGACGATACTTTGTCATTGTTCGATCCTGCGAAGATTCTTGATACGACTATTGCTTTGGATGTTGATAAGAAAGAAATAGAACGATTGCAAAGTTTATTAAACGAGAAAGAGAATCAATGTTCTGAGTACGTGAAAGAAATCGATCTTTTACTTAAAAATATAGAGGAAGGAAAGCTGCATAATCAAGACTTACAGAATCAATTTGAGAATTCGCAAAGCGAGTTGAAGAAGATAGAACATCTTCTTTCTGAAAAGAACGCAAAGCTGGAATCATTAAATGCGGAATTGGACAAAGTAACTTTTCAATTGAATGAATCCAAAGTGTTGCAGGAACAGTATCATATCACTGAAGCGGAATTGGAAAGATTACGGCAACTTATGGTCGAGAAGAACTTGCAGGTAGATTCATTGATTACAGAACTGAATGCCGTAAATCAACAAATGACTATGCAATCACAGCAATATACGGATTTAGAAACTAGTCTGCGAACAGAGGTCTCACTTAAAGACATCGAAATTGCTGCATTAAAAACAGAATTGGCTTCCACAAAAGAGACTGTGCAAACATTAATAATGGAACAAGATCAGCTAAACAACACCTTGGAATCGTACAAATTTCAGATTGATAATTTGGTAGCAGTAGCGAAAAATGCCAACGATAATGATTCAACACAAGAGACAAGTCAGCGTAACTTACAGATTGAACTGGAGAATGCTTTACGAGAGAGAGATCAGGCGCAAATACTCATCGCGAATCTCACACGAGCCTTAGATGATTCACAACAGAGTCTTCAGAAATTGAGAATACATAAAGACAGTTTAAAGGAGTTTACTCCTATGGAGAAAACAAACGTTCAACAAGAACCAGCACAAATTCTTACAGCTATCGAAGAACCGATTAGTCAACAAGAATCCGTACAATCTGCACAATTTAATGTCGATGAGGAATCTTGGGGTTGGAATACGGAGGACGCTCAATTGGTTAATGATCTAACAATAAGTGCGACGCCAGTACAGACGAGCGTCGAAACGCAATTATGCCTGCAAATAGAAGACTTGCAAGATAGAATAAAAAATCTGGAAGAGCAGAATGCTAAGATTGCCGAAAACAGTAAAGTAGCACAGATAAAGAGTGGTAAGTTGGTGAAAAAGTTGAAGGAGTATAAAGTGCAAATAGAGAGCTTGCAACAACAATTGAAGATGCAGAAGCAGGCTGGTAGCTTTTTCGATCTGGATACGGCAATCGAAGAGGAGCTGAAAATGCAGATCGCCAGTTTAGAGAAAACTCTTAACGAAATTAAAGAGGAAAAGAAAAATATTATTGCTGAGAAAGAGGCTTTACTGAAACGATTTGATGTGGTAGTGTCGGCTAACGAAAGGTACATGGAGATGAAGGAGAGACAGGATATGGAAGTCGAGGTACTGCGTATTTAGAATAAGGAACTGAGTAATAAAGTGCAACCCTTAGAGTGGCGATTGCAGGAAAATGCAATTGACGTACAAGATATCACCTCTTTCTCACGACAAGAAGATCAGATTGATCCGTCAGATCATGAAGCCGACTCTACTGCGCATAATCAGTCCCAGAAAAGATCAGTGGAATCTATTGACAATTTTGAAATCATGTCGAAAAAGTACAAGGAGGAAATAGGTGATTTGAAGGACGAATTGGAAGCGCTCGCGGCAGAAAACGAACAGTTGCAGCACTTTTTAGAAGAACAAAAAGCGATGATGGCGAATTTGGAACCGAAGAGTATTGATAAATCTGGAGAACTCATAGAGAAGTTAGATACATTGAATAACCAAAATGCATTACTCCAAAGCGCTTTAAACAAGAGCAAGGAAGAATACGACATGCTCAGGAAGCAGTACGAGCAAAGTCTAATAGACGCGAATGATCAAGTGGCAGCAATGCGACAAAACAGCGATCTTCTTAAAACTGAATTTATGGAGAAAATAGATAGATTAGAGGCGGAAATAAATAATTTACAGAAAGCTTTAGAAGAGAAGGAAGCCAAGATCAACGCTTTAATGAATTCAGAGGAAAAACTTTCGACCGTCAATACATCTTTAACGGAAGTTACGGAATTGCTTAACGTCAGAGTTCAAGAAGTTGCTGATCTGAAGCAAGAGCTTCAAGTTCAATATGTAGAAAGACAACAAGCTGAAGCGATGTTACAATCGGATATACAAAATTTAACAAGAGAACTAGACGAAAGGAAACAAGAATTGGCAGCCTTGAAGGAAGCATTTGCCAACAAAGAACACGAATTAATACAGCAAAGGAGTGTAGAAACAGTGAGTGCTATTATTAGTGAAGCTACTCAAGAATTAGTCCAGAAGCATGCGATAGAGATCGAAGAAAAAGATAAGGAATTGCGCAATCTAATGGAAAAGTTGATTGCAATGCAAACGACAGTCGATGAATACACTTTAAAGTTGCAAGATAACATGGCTAAGTTGGAGATGCAACAACAACAAATCGTATATTTAAAGGAGGATCTAACAGAGCGAAATTCAATAATTGGAGCTACTCAAGCTGAAGCAAATTTGTTGAATGAAAAATTGCAAGAAAAACAACAAGAGTTGATACAATATGAGGAAGAAAAAACCAAATTTGTAACAAAAATAGAAGGATATTTAGCGGACATCCAACATCTGCAGAGTCAATTGAACGCCACAGAAGTAACCACAGTTAATCTACAAGAGTACAATTCGCATATTCATAGCTTACAGCAAGAAATTCAAGTTCTAAAATCAGAGAAAGAATCGATCTTGCTGCAGTATGATCAGGAGACGAAGGCGTATCAGACTCATCTGGAAAACAATAAACAGCAGATTGATATTTTAAAGCAAGATCTGCGAGAAAAGACCGAGCAATTGCATTATGTGAGCACACAGTTATGCGCCAAGGAGAATGATTTGGAAGGCATCAAAGCAATGATGAATGACAAAGATTCTTTGCTGGAGATCGTGAATCAAGAATTGAATGACAAACGAGCCGAATTGGAAAAATTGCAGTCGCAGAATTCTCAAATGATCGACGCTCTCCCTGCTTTTAGAATGGGCAACGACGACGATGCGGAATTGCAAAGCACTGTAGACGAGTTAAAAGCGCAGATGGAAGCTAAACAGCAAGAACTGGAACATTTAAAGTACGTTTTGAGCGAGAATACGTATCCTACAATCATCCAGCAAATGCAAGATAGAATTAATTGTCTGTATAACGAAAAAGCTACATTGGAAGCTTCCTTGCGAGTAGCTAGGCAAACTTTGACGGAGAAACAGGAGCAAGTAAATGTTTTAACGCAGCGCATTAACGACCAGAACCAGGATCATATTTCCAAGGAGGAAGCCAATTCGCTTTCCAGAGACCGAAGATCCGCGTACGATCAAGAAGAAATCGTTAGATTGCAGAACGAGCTGCATGCGAAGGAACAAGAAATTAACGAACTGAGGTATGTTATAGCCGAGAAAGACTCGCAATTGTGTCTGCAAGCTAGTATGGAGCCGCAATCGGATGAATTCGAATTACGCGAAACTATGCAGAGATTGACGGGAGAGTTGTACGGCAAGGAGCAAGAAGTGCAAACGTTAAAGTCAACTATCGTAGAGCTAGAAGAGAAAATCTTGCATCTTAAAGACTTTGAAAGGCTTTCTGAGGAGAGCAGAAATGCCATCGAGAGGCTAACTTCAGAAAAAGAGCAGATTCGTATCGAGGCTGAAGAATTCCTGAGTAACGAGTTGCGAAAGAAAGAATCCGAGATTGATGAAATCAAGCAGAAACTATCAGAAGAAAATCAAAAGTTACTGGCAGAACTTCAATTGAAGGACAGTAATATCGAGAATCTTAAGATGCATTTGGAAGAATTGCAGGTAATTGTGAATGATCAGAGCAATAAGCTCGAACAGAATGAGAAAACATTGATGCATGCAATCGACGACCTGGCGGAAAAGGAGAGAAGACTGGCCGAGCTGAGCATCACCAAAGATGCCGAGCTTCATAATTTGAAAATGCAGATTCGCGAAAAGGAGGCGCGTCTAGAAGAACTCTTGGCGTTATCTGCTGAAGAGGAGAAACAATTAGACGAGCTAAAGTATACATTGGCGGCCAGGGAGACAGATGTGAATAGGCTGAAGGAATTGTTAGAGCAGAAGGTATCAGAGTACGAACTGATACAGCATGCTTTAAAAAAAGACGTGTCTATCATCGAGGCTGCGGCATCGAAGAGTTCGGAAACTGTTGGAATGGTTGACAACAAAGAGACTACTTCTAACGAGTTGGATCTCGCATTATACATGCTTCATCAAAGAGACGTCAGATGTGAAGAGTTGACTCACGAACTAATGCAATTGCTTGAAGAGCGTGATACGTTACAACTGCGATTGTCCAATGCAATTCGAGTAAACGAAGAATTGAGGAGGGTAGGTAGCGCCGAAGCGAGCCCAACAAAAGACTTATCATCGGCCTCACAAGTGATTGAACCTGTCGTGGAACAACCTTCACCTTCGAAGTCCGAGGGACCAGTTGAGATCGCGAAAGAAGCCATCGATATTCCGATCGAGGACAAGGAAGCTCTTGCATTGAAGTAAGTAAAATTTTGTAATTACGAAATTAGAAATCAGTCAACTTATATATTCACGTAGTATTGTAATCAATTTGCAAGAAAAAGACCCGAGTATTTATGTCCCCGTTTAGTGCTAAGCATAGTTTCTGGTAATTCGGTTCACCTACTACAAAAAAAAAAAAAAAATGTAATGCCATTGTTGGATCGATGATTTTATAGTTATATTTAATGATAAATATCGACGCGAGTATAGATTTTGTAATATATATGGTATATTTTTAAAAGAAAAAAATTGAAATTTTTGCGCGAGTAGATAATTTTTGTTGTTGTCAAAAGAGTCGAAGGTTTTCGTCGGACTAATTAAATTTTTCTTCGTCCTAGTCGCTGCTACGTTACTCCATTGGCGCGAACAATGATGACGACCTCGTTTTAGAGCATACGTGTTTTAATTAAAATCATTGCGATATCGTAAAGCCAGAAGTTTCATTATTTTGTCCAGTAAAAATCGAAATGCTTCTTCGTAGATTGCCTATCCTGCAAAGCTCAAGTAATGTTGAAGAATATTTTCGTTCTTCAACAGAATGTACAAATGCCTCGCTTACCGCGTATTGTAACTCGCTCGTAGCTTGATATAAGCTAGATTCTTCCTTTAGATTGTCGCAGTTGCATTCAGTCAGTCATACGAAGGACGTGCGATTAAAGGACGAACGGGAGTTAAGGCATACACAACAAATGTCTTTGTTAGCGCACAGAGACGTTTTAAGTACATTGCCGCCTGAAGCAGCTGCGAGGCTGGTCAACGCTAATTACACACTCTGTAGGTATCCCTTGATGAATAGACAATAGTTAATGAATATTTCGAATATATAATATAAAGCTGCATATCAGTGCGGATGACAAATCGATAAATCGATATTTGTTCACAGCTCGAGATGTTCAGAGCCAGTCGAGTGTGCTTTTGAATTGGTTGTGGGGCAAGAGGTAAAGCATATGAATATATTTTCTCTCTATTATACAGTTTATTAATTTTATATAAATTCATGATGCCGATCTATTGATTTTATTATACTTCAATTTTATATACATGTAGCATTATAATTTCACAGAATTTTAATATTTTTATACAAGTTCTCACTATTATATACATATATTAATAGTCAATTTTTTAAATTGACAGTTTGACAAGTTTTACGACTTTAGTTCCAGATTTACGATTTTAAATCTTTAGTTTATATTACAGGTGTTTCACAGTATGCATTATTGATAAAACAGTCTTATAATTTTATAATTACAAATTTTTAATTGTATAGAAATAATTGTTTTTATAGAGAAAGAGAGAGAGAACGTTGGTGTCTCTTCGTTTTTAATTTCATCAATCATATATTCATCACATTTTGTTAATTTTCTGTTTCCTATATTTTAAATCTATAGATTTTATGCAACTAAACGTAAATAAAATAAATAATATCTATATGATCATATGGTATGCGATTTTAGCACGCCGAAGGTGGTGCACATGTGATGAACGAATAGCGGGAGTCAAACGGCCATCGTTTTTGCCTTCTGAAGACATTCCTGCCAAGTGCCAACTGCCAAGACTTATTTCTGCAGTTAACTAATGTGTAATGGAGCGATCTGTCGTGTGTATTTTCCAGACAGAAATCGTTTAATTATATGCTAACGATTATAAGGAACTATTTTGCAAAAGTATTGCCTGATTATCAGGAAATAAATATTTTTCAAATTACAGAATGTACAGAATGTAGAGGTAGATAGATAATGTTCTTTCTTGGAAAAGTCGCTCCTCTTCGAGAAAGAAAAGAAAAGAATATAAGGAGCAGACTTACATGTATTATAATGTTGTACAGCCGAATTGCATGAGAGATATATGATTGAATCGAAAATACTTTAGATAATATAATATTTCTGCTTTTTTTTTATTCGATGACTAAATTATTTATAGCAATGTATATGCGTCAAAATTATATTGTAATTCTTTTCTTTTGCGTTTTGCGTGTGTATTTCTATCAAAAAGTTGCCGTTTTATTTCGTCAGTTTTTTTTTTGTTAATATTTAATAATTATGTATTTTCTTTGTGTGAATTATCTACGATTGTGTCTTCCAGCTTATTGATGCAATTATAATACTATTATTAGTCATATATCGAAGAGAAAGGGAAGCTACACAAGACGAATCATAGATAATGCAGACGTAATTCGTGATAATTGTAAATTATTCAATCATTCTATTTCCATAAAATTTTGTACAGAAAAAGAAAAGTGTCAATGAATAAATAAAATATGAGAAAGAAATTATTTAAAGAAATTACGAATTATAAAATATAATAATGTTTGATTGTGCGTGTTGTGTATCCTTAAAATTGCATAAAATATTTTGTAATGAAATTACGCATTTATGGCATGCAAGTATGTATTTTTGGGTGGAGAGAGAGAGAGAGAGAGAGAGAGAGAGAACAGGTCGAGGTTATCTCTGTACACAGTGGCATAAATATTTATATTACCGAAATTGCATATTATGCGATATAAAATAACAAAAAAAAAAATAAAAGATATGACAATATTTTTATCTCAGAATTAAAGTAATCATTGCTGCTTCGTAATTTAAAAGTTTGAAAAATTACAGAGGAAAAAAAAATATAAATGTTTTTAGATATAAAGAAAATATATTATTTTATTTATGTTGTGTGTTGTGTGCACATACATACGAACTCTCAAAACATTGATCGCTTTATTTCTAAGATGACTTTAAATAAAATAAAATTCCTCCATCTTATCTCTTTATAGAATTGATTATATGAAATTTGATATTTATAATATTAAATCATAAGTATATGAAATATTAATATAATTAATATAAAAAATTAATATATAAAAAATGAGCATAAAAGATTAATCGAAAATTAATATGTTCGCTATTCTGAATGAATAATTCGATCTTAATGCAAATAGAATATGCGCTGTTTGCAGTTTACTAATATAGATACACGGTGTTATTTATGTGTATTACTTCCTTTTTTCTCTTTTTCTAGAAGAATTGTCAAAGGACTATAGTGTCTCTTATCATAGGAACTATAGTATCTCCATAATTTTGATTACAGTTTTGATTACACTATTGTACTTAAACAAATTTGCATAAAATATTATTTTTTTAGCACATTGCAGTTTCTCCATACATTATTTATATGACTAGCTTCGACAATGGGATTGAAGGTAAGTTGAAAATCAACAGCTTTTTGAAAATTCAGAAGATGCAAATAAATGGATTTTACTTTAAGATTCAATCTATCTTAACAACTCGACAAAAATAAAGTTTTTATATTTTCTTCAAAAATTATATTTTTAGAGAATATATTTTCATATATATTTTAAAGCTAATTTTTTTATGTTGATATTGCAAATATTTTTTTGTTGTACAAAAAATTTTTTACTTAATTTTATAACTGTCATCCTTACTATTATATTTTTTGAATCAGCTAATTTCGAGCTTTACTTGAATATCTTACCGTCTGATAGTATTTTAACTTTGATATCAAAAATTGTTTCTTTTATTATATTCGTTTTTAGATATAAAGAAAATATATTATTTTATTTATGTTGTGTGTTGTGTGCACATACATACGAGCTCTCAAAACATTGATCGCTTTAATTCTAAGATGACTTTAAATAAAATAAAATTCCTCCATCTTATCTCTTTATAGAATTGATTATATGAAATTTGATATTTATTATATTAAATCATAAGTATATGAAATATTAATATAATTAATATAAAAAATTAATATATAAAAAATGAGCATAAAAGATTAATCGAAAATTAATATGTTCGCTATTCTGAATGAATAATTCGATCTTAATGCAAATAGAATATGCGCTGTTTGCAGTTTACTAATATAGATACACGGTGTTATTTATGTGTATTACTTCCTTTTTTCTCTTTTTCTAGAAGAATTGTCAAAGGACTATAGTGTCTCTTATCATAGGAACTATAGTATCTCCATAATTTTGATTACAGTTTTGATTACACTATTGTACTTAAACAAATTTGCATAAAATATTATTTTTTTAGCACATTGCAGTTTCTCCATACATTATTTATATGACTAGCTTCGACAATGGGATTGAAGGTAAGTTGAAAGTCAACAGCTTTTTGAAAATTCAGAAGATGCAAATAAATGGATTTTACTTTAAGATTCAATCTATCTTAACAACTCGACAAAAATAAAGTTTTTATATTTTCTTCAAAAATTATATTTTTAGAGAATATATTTTCATATATATTTTAAAGCTAATTTTTTTATGTTGATATTGCAAATATTTTTTTGTTGTACAAAAAATTTTTTACTTAATTTTATAACTGTCATCCTTACTATTATATTTTTTGAATCAGCTAATTTCGAGCTTTACTTGAATATCTTACCGTCTGATAGTATTTTAACTTTGATATCAAAAATTGTTTCTTTTATTACATTTGTTTTTATTATTATCTTGTTTTATTGTTACCTCCACTTCGATGATCCGTTCAGAAGATTTATAGAAGAAGAAATGCTATAGGATAGTTTTTGGGAGATAGACATATACGCCCATTACTTTGTTTAATAGCAGTAGCCGGAGTAAATTGTGTAACATTAAATAAAAATGAATTATCTAAGTAAATATATTTCCTTTCTTTATTTACTTTATATATCTTTAATCATAGTATATAACATAATCGTTATTTTTCTGTAGCTCATAGTAACAATAAACTAAGTATTTAATTGTATAATGATTCATACCGATAATCGCTGCAATGCGAGAAATGTTCTGCTCGATGCTTTAAAGAATAAAATGCTTAAATGAATGAATAAATTTCATATTAAAAACATCTTCAAAAATTTTTAATGAATTTCTACATATCTATAGTCTTATCATTTCTCTAAATAACTACTTCTTGAGATATATGTAGCAAACTCATACATCGCACGTAATTAGATACAATTCATACTCGCTGATTATTATATGTTTATATACATGTCGTAAGATATACATTTTCGTTTGAAATGTATTGCGACGTGATAATTGTCATAAGCGACGGGTTTTTCTTCACTTGCTTCTTAACGATGCTTTTTAATTTAACACTGATAACGGCTTTATTATATTGCATTCAACTTTGCGCTCACTGAATTATAAATGTTTATAAATACGTTATTACGAATATTGTGATAATTCTTGTTTAAATATCTATTTAATGAAAAATCCCCACCAGAAATCAAAGATAAAATAACTAATTGGACTTAATTAAAGATCCTCTTTTTTACTAAAAATCCTTCTTGTTTTTCGTACTGGATGTAATGATTGGATATATACCAATGATTATTATACCAACTGCAGAAATTTTTTCTCTGGTAATCATATTTTATTTCGAATAATAATATATAACATTTATAATGAATAGTAAATTACAATAACTGTTAATAAAGGTATATTTTGTATTAAGTTTTTTATTCTCTAAAAAACATAATTTTAATATATATATAATAATTGTAAAGATTGTTAAAAAACAAAATGTGAAATATTCTATTAAAATAAAAGCAGCAGTTTTATCTGTATCTGATATAAGGGTCGTTACGAACGGTTAAGCTTACAATTAGACATGAATTTTCATTAACGGAAAATAAAATATTTTGAATAGAATAGAAAATATGAACAATATAATCCAAACATCTGGTAAATTTCGGATAAACGTTGGCGATGATAAAATCATTAAAGGGAGAAAATTCTTAATTGCCGTAAATATTCGAATATATTATTTAGTTTGTACGCTGATTCTAGTTGATTTTTCTTTTCTTATGTAATTTAAATAACAGAATTATCTTTATTTTTTCTCTTTGGTTAAGTGCGACATGATAAGTTAATTTATTACATCTTATTAATGAATAAGATGTAATAAATGCCTTGAATATTAAGTAAAAGAGCAAATAACCATTTTGAATAACGTATTGAATAATATAATAACATGTTTAAAAAAATTATTAATTGTCTTTATCCAAATGTTGTTTGTTAAGTAAAAAATGATGTAATCTACTCGTCTCAGAAAAATATACATACGAAGCTATAATGAGTCTTTATAAAAAATGTTTACATGAAATTGATTATATAATTCCTCGAGATAAGATCCTTAGAACAGCTATGTCTAATCGAGATTAATTCTTATATTTATTACGGACGTTGGACATACACCGTCATTATGGTGCGATTCATTGTCATTTTTATTGCGGACGTGGTACGTACATCATCATCAATAACGTGATTTCGAAGAGGATCAGTATGATAGTTATCTCATTGTCAATGAAAAAGTTTTAAACAGTTATCATATAAATGTATTTACTAATTTATATCATCGATTTATTTTATTTTAAATATTGTTAAGATAGTTTATCGTGCATTTTTATTATTTAACAGCCTTTATATCAGTGATCTCGATACTGACCTATCGATACTCGATCAAGACCTATCGTCAAAATGTCGCGAGCAACATGCTTGTTCGCTATTTTACTTCTTGCGAGTACCGCAATTGCTGAGATACGTAATAAAGGATGGTGGAAAAATGCAGTATTCTATCAGATTTATCCCCGAAGTTTCATGGATTCGAATAACGATGGCGTAGGCGATTTAAAAGGTGAGTAGAATAAAAACTCATGTATTATATAACGTTAATTTTATAACCAAATAAATGAAATAATATAAAGTCAGTAAGGATAATTTATATATTGATGTATAAATATATATAATTAAACAAAGAATATTTATTTTATTCTCTTATTTATATTCTGAATATAGGAATAACATCGAAACTGCAGCATTTTCTAAACTCCGGAATTACTGGCATTTGGCTATCGCCGATTTACGCAAGTCCGATGGTAGATTTCGGATATGACATTTCCGATTTTAAAGATGTCGATCCGACATTTGGTACGATGCGAGATTTAGAGGAATTAATTGCTCAAGCGAAGAAACTTGGCATAAAGGTGAAGTTGATTTGCTTTGTTTTTTTCTTTCGTCTTCTTTCTTTCGATAAATTGAAAAAGGGAACAATTTTTTAAATCATTCTAACAGGTGATTTTGGATTTGGTTCCAAATCACACTTCTGATAAGCACGAATGGTTTAGAAAAAGTCTTATCGACGAAGGCAAATACAAGGATTATTATGTATGGAGAACCGGTAAGAATAATAATCAATCACCGCCCAATAATTGGATCAGCGTATTTAGCGGCCCAGCTTGGAGTTTTAGTCCGAGTCGTAATCAATGGTACTTTCATCAATTTGAATATAGGCAACCCGATCTGAATTATAGTAATCCCGAAGTGCGAGCTGAAATGGAAGTAAGTGATTTATATATATATCATATTAAAAGAATCTACAGGCAATAATAATTATACTTAGAATAATAACAAATAATTTAACGATTTTAAATTTTATTTATATAAGTAATTTTATATATATATATAATAAGTACTCTTTAACATTTTCTTTATCAATTCATCTAAGCAAATTGAAATATGTTATATCGTGCTCGAAATAGTGCTATAAATTTCGCTTAACTATTTAACTTTTACAATTATACGTTAACGATTCCTAAGGATGTGATCAGATTCTGGCTACGAAAAGGTATTGATGGATTTCGTGTGGATGCTGTTCCGCATTTGTTCGAAGATGCGAATCTTTCAAATGAACCCAGAAGTTATGCACCAGGAGCTACTGAGCGCGATTATACGTACTTAGAGCATATTTACACTAAAGACGATCCACGCACATATGTCTTGGTGGCAAGTTGGCGGGAAGTCTTGGACGATTATGCGAATTATCATAACGAGGATGAAAAAGTGGGTGCATTTCTTTAATCTGTATTTGTTTTCCGTATTATTACACAATAAAAATTAGATAATTTGCGATATGAAGAACGATTATATTAAAAGTCAACAAAAATCAGCTTTCTTGAGATTGATGATAATATAAAAGAAAATGTAATTAACGACACTACCACAAGCTTTTATATCTTATTATATTCATTTTATATATAGTTCCATTTTATTAATTTTCTTGGAATTGAAAACATTGGAACATTGGAATATTAATTAATAGATGTTTATATAGACATATAGAAATGAATAGGTACTTTGATTTTCAGGTGATGATGACTGAAGCTTATACTAGTTTGGAGAATACTACGAAATATTATAAATTTGGTTCACACGTGCCTTTCAACTTCAAGTTTATTACGGATGTAAATAATCTTTCCAAAGCGATAGACTTTAAACGCATTATCGATGACTGGATATCTCAAATGCCCAATGGTGGGATCCCAAATTGGGTAGTAAGTAAAATTTACATATACATTTATTTTTAAGGCAATAAATGGGTGATTGCAATTCGATATTTTAATGAAATAATTAAAAATGTGACAGTTACTGTTTTGTGATAATACATAAAAACATATGCAAAGTATTTTATATATTTCTATGCTATAATTTTTGAAATTATTTTTTTTAGAAATTTTAATGTAAAAGCCAATTATATAATGATAATATGATAAAAACAAAAATACAAATAAAGGCTCTCTAGATTAAAATCAAAATTAAAACTCGAAGAAAATGGCAATCAGAACCAAGCGCGGTAATTGGAGCGCAAAAAGTTTTATTATGTGACATTCTCTACAATTATAGATAGGACATTTCGGCCTCTTTTTTAGGCCATCTTCAGCACAAATTAAATTGAATTAACTTATAATATAGGTTAACGGTCGCATGGTCTTAGTCGGTTAGTAACATGATCAGAAAAGTAAAAACATTGTCGCAGATATTAAAAGAACAAAAAATAAATAATAAATGGTCGCAGAAAGAATAAAAAATAAATAAGAATAAATAAATAAATTTAAATAAAGACCGGTAATCTTTCACATCATTGTGGTATTGTAGAAGGTCAGATGTCTGAGTATTGGAGTCATTAGTATCGGATTATATAATGATAATATGATAATTTTGTAGATGGGAAATCATGATCGCAGTAGAACTGCGTCTCGTTATCCTGGAAGAGGAGATCAAATGATAATGTTAGAGATGATTCTACCCGGCATCGCAATTACTTACAATGGCGAAGAAATCGGCATGCTTGATAAGCGGGATATATCTTGGGAGGACACGCAGGATCCTCAAGCTTGCAATGCTGGAAGAGACAAATATCAAAATCAATCGCGCGATCCCAATCGCACGCCATTTCAATGGGATGCTACAAAGAATGCTGGTAAATTATTTACATAAATAATTTTTTAGAAAATTAGTTGTGAGTATTATTAGAGACAAAAATGATCGAAAGTACATATTAGTCAGATATTTTTATTTTCTTAAATTAGAAAATAAAATATTGAGATTCATAATTCAAAAACAAAAAAGAACTAGTTATCTAAATTTATACTTTTGATTTGTTTTGAAGGTTTTAGTAAAGCTAATCACACGTGGCTTCCTGTACATGAGAACTATATCGAATTAAATTTAGCAAAGCAAAAAATTGCCTATATATAAAATAATATTTTAATAATATTTTTATATTATTATATATTTCATTATATATTATATATATATAATTTTTTGATAATAGTTTATTATTATGATGATTTTATAAAATATTGTGCGCTCTCTTTTAATAATTGTAGAACAGAAATACATAAAAAATATTACAGACTTATAATTTATACAGATTACAATTTTTTGTTTTATATTATTTTTAATGACAATATAAAATATGAATAGTTTTATTTAAAAGAGTTTACATATTTATTTATTATTGTTTATTACAACGTTAAATATATTTTTAAAGAGATAAGAGAAAGTAATATAAATTAAAATATACATATACATAAATATTGTTTCCATTAATAATATATATAGATAAATGCTATAAATAGAAAGTATTTAAAATATTAATTTTTGATATATATTTCAGAACGACGGTGAACACAAAAGAAATAAACTTGCCTGCTAAAGCTGCTCTCGTTCTTGCTTCAAAAAAAAGCTAAGATATATATAGACTATAATATTCAAAATATTTTATGAAATCTTTATATTTTACTAAAATAGCATTAAGTATATGTTTAAAGTTTATATATAATATTTTTAAACAAGCAAAAATGTGTATGTGATGAAATTTTTATGTATTAATTATGTATAAATTTTACGCGTATATCAACAATTAAAGTGCATTCTTCATATTTTATATACCGAATATCTTCAAGAGCTCTTGGTTTATTATACAATTTAACAACAAATTTTTTTTTTTTTTTTTGAGAGGAGAATAATTCTTCATTTTTTTATGTTGAATACAATTTCACCTTTGAAAATACTCTATCACGTCGTAATTTCGAGATGATTGTGAGAGTCTGATCGTGAAATTAAAATTGCTGAAAAAAATTATTTTAATATACTTTACTATACTATAAACTATATTCTAAATATGAATTTAATTTTGATATACTATGCTGAAGATGGTCCAAAAAAAAATTGTCTAAAACATTCATATTTAATATATACTTGTTAAAAACAAAAATTGACAAAATTAATGTATAACTTGTTATTGAAATTAAAAAATAAAAAAGTTTGCGCACTAATTACTGCGCCTCAACTCTTATTTGTTATTTTCTCACCTAGTATCTATTATAAAGCTATGATGTATATTACATTTTTATGATTGTCTGGTATTATCATATGCACTAGTAATTTGTTTAGTTTGTTAATTGCGGAAAAGTACGCAATATATTTTTCCTGAATATCATGTCATGTCATTTATCGCGGATTGATTGATGACAATGAAATAGTCGCATATGTAGTTGCAGTAATCATTGTCATTGTTTTTTATCTTGAAATTTATTAATTTTTTTTCGAGTGCAAAGATATCGTAACATTCATTAAACACGATTGATAAGGAAGCAACTGATTTTCTTAGCCATTGACGTATATATAAACAATTTTCAGATTCGACAAGCACAAACGGCATCATGTCGCTGACAATACGCTTGTGTGCGCTTTTGCTGCTGGTGAGCGGTTTATCAGCCGAGATTCTCAATAAGTCGTGGTGGAACAATACTGTCTTCTATCAAATTTATCCGAGAAGTTTGTATGATACCAATGCCGATGGCGTAGGCGATCTGAAAGGTAAGCGTATGTCAGTCTCTATTTATTAATATGTGTCGTGCATAAGATAATAAAAAATAAAAAATTACTATATTCATATATTTCCCAGATAATAAAAGTAGTCAATTTGACGTAAAATTACGTCAAAATGACGTTAAAATGACTATTTTTGCTACTTGGGATGTTACAATTTTGTTGGATTAATTATTGCATAATTATACCCAGTTAATTTCTATACGTTTATTATCGAAAAACATTAATGCCAAAGTAATGTAAGCCAAGTATACGAACAATGGCAAAATTTGAAGCTTTGTTCTCTGATGTTATCAGGAATAACTTTAAAGTTGCCCTACATTGCGAAAACTGGCATCAACGCAATCTGGCTGTCACCCATATATCCAAGTCCTATGGTCGATTTCGGATATGATATATCCAATTTTACGGGTATCGATCCAGTTTTTGGCACAATGGAAGATTTCAAGGATCTCTTGGTGAAAGCTAAGAAACTCGGTTTAAAAGTGCGGCGGTTTGCCTATATATATATACATCATGATTTTTATATATAATCTAATTTGATTGTTCATATTATTATCGTAATTAAATGTAGAGAATTATTGACTTTGTTTATTCTACGAAATATTTTGAATACTCGTCGTCTTTTTTTGGAGTTACTTCATGATATCATTCTTATAGGTGGTTCTCGATCTCGTACCTAATCATTCATCTGACAAGCACCCATGGTTCCAAAAGGGTCTTCAAGGCAATGAGAAATATAAGAATTATTATATGTGGGCAGATGGTAAAGATAAAGACGATAAAACGCCGCCTAATAATTGGATCAGTGTGTTTAGTGGCTCAGCGTGGGAGTATGTGGATTCGCAAAAACAATGGTATTTTCATCAATTCGATTATAGACAGCCTGATTTGAACTTCTCAAATCCTGATGTGAGAGACGAGATGAAAGTAAGTTACAGAGAAAAGCTCAGATTTTTTTAAATGTTGCTATATGCTGAAGATTTTCATTAAAATATCTCATTCTGGTGTTCCAGTCACATTAATTTTATTTGTAAGAAGAATAAAAAAGAGAGGCTATTGCGCGTTTATTATTTTAATAAAATGTGTTAATAAATTTTATCAATATTATTAGTACAATTGCAAATATATATATAATGATTCTTCTCATTTCTATTAATTCAAAACGTTTAATATATTTTTTAACACACTTATTATTTGAGATATAATAATCTTTTCCAGATATGCGATAAATATGTGATGAAATAAATTATAACATAATTTATTAGCATTAATAGTTTGCATAAAAATTTATTTAATTTTTTTGTTACTGCATTTTTCCCTAGATTAAAAATTTATCATTTAATCTATAGATTATAAATCTCTTTAGATACCTTTTTATTTTGCATATAAAAGTTTGAGTGAAAATGTATAACTGCAAATTGAATTCAAAATTTATAAATTTATGTTAAAGAACATAAAGTTCTATAATCAGAAAGATATATAAAGGAAAGTGTATAAAAAATATTTTACACATTACAGCATTCTAAACTTTATTCTTATAACTTCTAATGATTTTTTTGATCGGTTACAGAATGTATTGAAATTCTGGTTGGATTTGGGTATAGACGGATTCCGCATCGATTCCGCCTCGTTTATGTATGAAGATCCAGAATTGAGAGATGAGCCCAGAAGTTATGCGGCCGATGCCACACCGCGAGATTATACGTATTTGGATCACATTTACACCTTTGATCAAAAATCTACTTATGAGCTATTCGGAGATTGGCGAAAATACGTAGATGAATATACTGACAAGCACAATCAAGATCAGAAGGTCAATAAAGCAATATTATTTTTTTCAAATTTATGTTTTGTGCTTATTGATTTATAAAATATGCTCTTTCTCTGATCTTTCTAGATGATGATGATGGAGGCGTATACCAGTTTCCCGCATACCATGGAATATTATAACTATAATGTGACGCCT